GTCCCTGCTTGGCGGCCTCCTCAGCAACCCACTTGGATACTTCGCTCCACTTGTGCACGCCGCTCTCGATGAAGAAGTACGACTTAGGACCGAAGATCTCGGGGTTGCTGTTCTTGGAGGGGTCCAGCGCGGCCTCGACGGCCGACACGAAGAAGTCGCTCAAGTCATACACGTGCACGTTGTCCCACTCGGTCAGGCCCGGGGCCTGGATGGGCGCAAATCCGTTTTTGAGCGTGTAGTCGATGATGCCGGGGACCTGGATGCTGCGCTGGTTGACGGGGCCACGGCCCTGGCCGTAGATGGTTGGCGGTCCGACAATCATGGTCTTCACGCCGGGCGAGTCGTTGGCCGCGAGCACAATCTTGTCCACGTTCCGGTGGATGGCGGTATCAGGCAGCGAGAGCACGCGGTCGATGTCGTCAATGTCGTGGTACTTTTGCTCCGGCAGCGGTGCTTGGCCGTACCGCTCGTGGCCCGCGTCGTACCAGGTCAGGATGCCGGTGCCACAAAGGTGGATCCAGTAGCCCGGCTTCTCGGCCGTGTGACCGGCTGCTAGACCCTTAGCGATCGCACGGGCGGACGGGACGTTATCAGCCGAGTCGGCCATATCTAAGTGAGCGTTGTTAATAACTCTTGTGCATTCTTGGATTTGGTCGTATAGAAAACGTACGAACTACGACGTCCGCGGCAGCGGCCTCTTTTTCGATGACCTCGGCATCGTCTAGGGTACCGTAGACTAGGCGGGCCTTGGGGTATGCAGCAGCTACGGGCTTGCCGCGCTCCTCGTTCCGCACGAGCAGGGTGTACTCGTACTCCGGGTGGGCCTTGAATAGCGCGTAGAACGCATCACCACCAACGTAACCTACAATTTTTGTCTAATGTTCAGTACTTGACTTGTGGGTATGATTACACACTGTCTCGTGCGCTGCAAGGCTCATACCAGTAACACCAGTGCTATTGTAATTGATTAGCTTCTGTGTATTTTCATCTATCTGTGTTTCGCTTCATTTTATAATACGATTGGAATTCAAGGCAATACTTACAGGAAAATCTTAGGGGCCATCTTGGAGAGCGTAAGTTTTGTCGTAATGATGAAGTATATCTACGTGATCGCCTATTCGAGCGGGGTTGGAGACCGAAAGGTTCGAAAGTTCTCGATGATCTTGTTCGTCTTGCTCAACAGGTTTAATTCAAATCGTGAGTGCACTTGAAGCTTTATAAATTCGTAATAGTGATCTAAAGAACAAAACTTGGGTTAAAAGATGTCCCTAGTTCTCATTATTCAAAGTTGGGATGGAAGTCGCATGACAAATTCTAAAGATGATTCGAGTGACGCCATCTAGGTTCTGTTGATACATAACGCCCACCCACCTTCCCCCACTTCTGAAGCTGTACAGGGAAGGAATTGGTACCAGTTCTGATGCAGTGCAACTCTTGGCCATTTGCCAGTTTCAGCTGGATTAGGTAAGTTGGTGAGGTCCACAGGTTTCTTACTGACCCACTACATCTACTATGTACAGCTTTTCCCCTCGAATCCTTCTTCGATTGACGGCACCAGGTTTCCAATCCTTCAACTAGCAACCGGGTAGACTTGCAGCTCCGTTGCACTTTTGAGTTTGGTACGTTATGTACATGTAGGTACACTGAGCCTCATTTATATTAGGTCCAGTAGCTCACTTAAAATTGAGGCAAGTGGCCCGCAATAACCCTAAAACTCGAACACTACACGTCTAGATTTGGTTCGCCGAAGCCCTACAGACTCCACCATTGCAAGGGGCTATAGCCTTAACACCACTACAACTTGAATATGCCCAGTACCTAGCCATCGCAATTATAGGAATAGGCTTTCACCTCTTACGATTCGCGCATATATTAACTAACAAATAATGTTCTTGTCAATGCGATTATATTCAATTCATGCCTCCGGCCGTGGGGTTTCATTATAGATCACGTATGAGTACATTTTTATGATACGAGAACCATTCCCTTGGTAGTATCCCTAATGCTATCCTCAAGACTTGTCCATCCGTGGCCCGTCAATCTCTTGAGCACATCCTCGGCTCTCTCATTTGCGACCTGGCTCATATCGGTCCCTAGGTCGGGGATTTCCTCGCCAAATTCGCGATCGGGGTACAGCCGTTTCAACACTCGCACTATGTCGTTCCAGTTGAAAGGCTGTGCGAAGCCGAGGAGACGCTCCCCACTCACGTCGGCATACACCAGGGCAGCAACATGAAGTGCGGCGCAGTCACGGACATCGATGAAGTGGTAGGGCTCCAAACCCACCAAATCCTCCGGGCTCAAGCCTATCCCCATGTCGAACATAGCCTTAATCCAGCCGAGAGTACTCCGGTAACCTTGGCGGGCTACGTCGACGGGAGGGCCGAAGTTCGGCGAGGGCAGGACGGTGTTGAGTGTGAATGAACACTTATGCTCCTGCATCCAATTCCACGCCGCCTGCTCGCCCCTGGTCTTGCTCGCGCAGTAGACGTCTGTGATGCGCTGCGAGCCTTCGTACGGCGGTGGCGCATAGGCTGCTTTGATAACATCTTCATTCCATGAGTTCGAGTCAACTCTGAAGACTTTATTTGAGGTAGGACATGTGACCGCTCCTGATGACGATGTTATTACCACTCGCTTCATGGCAGGTTCCTTCGCTGCTGATTCTAGGGACCGTATTGTGCTGTCGACGACAATAGGAATTGTGGCATGAGGGTCGGGGCCTGCCATAACGGGCGTTGCTGTGTGTACGAGGCCAGATGCACCCTTGACGGCCTCGTCGAACGCACCAATTGCCACTATATCGGGAACCTCGATTAACTCGAACTTGCCCGCGCCATACTGCTCCTCGAAGTACTGTTCTATCCATCGTTCTTTGGAAACATTGCGAACAGTGCCGCGAACACGGTAGCCCTGTCGCACGAGTTGGTCCGCGATGTGGCTCCCGATGAGTCCATTCACGCCTGTCACGACCACAAGAGATCCAGGACGAAGTACAAGGTCGGAAAACTCGACACGGGTCTTACGATTCCTATATAGCAGTCCTGGCCTCTTTGCGAGCCGGAGGATAATAGTTTTGATGGTATCTAACACGGTCATTGTGAAGACGATGAATATCTTTTAAAGAAGGAAAAGGGGGTGGGAGATGAATAAGTCCCTCTAATGTGGGTTTCGAGTGTGTATGGCTTGATTTCGGGACATATTCCCAGGTCATCGATTCGTATATCTTATAATGGTGCCCGCGAGATCGGATCGCTCCCTCCATGATCGCAAACTGCTCGCTGAATAATGAACATCACTGTCGTCACGTATCTCAAGCAAATCACCCCTCCTCGTGCAATGTAACAATGCTGCACCATGGAGATTAAATTGTATGCCTCGGTTGTTTTGAACGCTCTCCATAAAAAAGGACCGGATTCCCGATCTCTAGATCTTATGTTATCACCGGATCATATGTCCAAAGTTTTACTATTGGGCGACAGCTTCTCTGATGAGTGGACGCTATGCACATCTTGAAGACCCTCCGAGTACTGCAACACTACAAGAAACACCATTGGATGGATACGTTCTGCAATACTGGGACGCCTAGATTTCTCTGACGGCGATATCACTTGCGCTATACCCTCTATCAACCGGAACATTACAAATTCAAACCTGCCATCTCCAAAATTGACCTAAATTCGGCTCGCAGCGAATGTGGCCATCTAAGTAGGCTTGGTACTGCAAGATATCGCGGTGAGCTAGGCGATTTCGAATACAACAGCGCATTCCATACCCAGGGACACAACCCATACCCACATATAGACACTTCGGACAAGATGGTAATTTGCCCAAGGTGAGAACAAATATAGATAATGCCATCATATTCAAGCGGCTCGATGAGCGCATCTCTACTTATTACGGAGTGATATACAGTACCTTTTTGTATATATAAGGCTGATATCGTGAGCGCCATGCTGATCATGGCACTCTGGTGGGTAGGTATGCTTCATGTACTGTACGGTTGAAAAGGGGTAATTGACATCACTTAACATTTTACCACCAGCCGGGCCGCACGTACGACTGCTTCGATTTCTGACATGCGAGTATGACGTGGTTCGGCTGCAATAAGAGACTTGGCAGACATGAGTAACATGACGAGTGCAAAGGATAACCACATTTCCCACATTCTACGGTTATGTATCAACCCAATCTCTCGAACGGTTTGGTTCGATTTATACAGTTGCGATATCGAGAAAAAGATGGCCTGACCCATACTGCTAGAAGTTCTAAAAATATGATACTCGGTCCGGTCTAATTAGTTTGATATCATAGACAATGTCGAAGTCGCAACGCCCTACGAGCATCTTAGTAAACAACTCAAATATGACCTGTCGTATTCGAGAACGGGTAGGGTTGCGTCGGTCACATCTACAGAGCGGGTTTCCTGTTTTGCCCACATGCAAACCGTTCGTCGACCTTAACTGCCACTGCATGTAAGATGCGTCCTCCCGTCTCCAAGCCAAGAACGGTTCTTCAGGGATCTCCATTGGTTGCACATGAGCGCATGTACATGCCCTTCGGACTTTATCTTATTCAGGGTCGCACTGCGACGGGATCTAGAAACAAACAGCGGTAAGGTCCAAAGAGGCACCTTTCTAGCTCCCGCTTGCTACCCGCCTCTGCATGCATGGCGTTGGGAATTGTGGGTTTACCTAGGTAAGTTTTTTTGCCCAGATCGTCAGAAGATGCCAGACAAGACCTACCATGCGCCGGACTTGTGCCGACGTCTTTCTCGGCCGAATTCCGTGGGTGCGTGCATTATACAGTCTCCAGTCTACAGTAGATTTTGCTTCATAGTTAGGTTGTTGTAGTTGCGCTTAGATTTTAGAGGCTCGTTCTCGTGTTCCTAAGGTAGACTAGTTCGATACCGACGCATAGGGATGGATCTAAAACCATGTCTAGCGTGGCGCGCACTATGATGTGGGCTATAGTACAAAATAACAGACCAGAATACTCAATGCCCATTGGCCCAGTGGTTAAGGCGTCTGACTGTTATTGTACCACTACAAACAACAGCAAAATCAGAAGATCCCTGGTTCGACCCCAGGATGGGCAGCTTCTTTTTGCCATTTTTTATCGTCCTAAACTTTTCGCTACCTGATTCACCCGTACATAACAGTCCGGGACGACAATTGTCTTTCCTACTCGAAATGTAATGGCAATCAATTCTTTTTGGCCAATCGTCGCGAGGGTATTATTGCGTTATGTGTAACGGGTGTCAGAGAGGGCAAAATCGGGAGATAAAATGCGAGGTTGCAGAGCATTTGTTCATAAGTCAGTCAGTCAAGCAAGTAGTTGAGCCAGCCAAGTAAGATCGTGATTCACGAGGCCTATAGCTAGACCATTATTCGTAGTACCCGAGGCACTTTACACCTTAAGAATGTAATGGTTGACTTCTTGGCGTCATCGTCCCATCTGGTAAGCTTGAGCAGCACACCAATTATACGAAACACACAGGCTTCCAAGCCTTTCTCTACTACCGTCACGTCGTATGCGGGTAGAAGTCGGTACGAATCTGCAATGGGTAAATCTAGGCGGCTGCTTCGTTATCTAGAAGCAAATGCGGAATATATTACTGCGATATATGGTCGGGTGTGTACGTGCTCTCTCCTCCGGCTACTCCTTTGGGGAGGACACCATTGCACTTATCTACGTACCCTGACCTGACTACGGAAGTTTATAGATCAGATATGTAGACAACTTCTATATAACAATATAATCAATCGAGAACATCGTAGAAGGGTCTTAGGTAGCCTTATTTAACAATATAATAATGTTATCGCCGATAAGGGGGGGTTATGTCCGAAATAACCCAAAAGCTTTCAGAACCAAGGCCGCCCTTATAGGTTTGGATGTAGTATAAGCACATTTACTTTGCAAACTGGGTACTGACAGTGATGCTGCTTTAGCTCCTGCTTCTTCTGTACAGAAGGCCTTGCAGACACCCTTTTAGTAAGTGATGCCTTAGTTCCAACTTCTGTCGTTGACCGCTTCTTGCCGACAATCGATACATACATACATACATGTACCTAATAGGAAGTAGCTTTATCGTGCAAAGTTGTAGGGATACGTTGAAGGTAATAATTGCCTAAGAAAACTTAAGGGTATGGCCGACGCTGCCAGAAGGCTAGGTCATGTATCACGACCAAGGGGGTCTTCCTAGAGACCAAGGGAGGAGTTCATAGGACACAAAGGACCTTGGTGTATATAGGCCGGTAGCTTTAGCTAGATAGGAGTTAGAGCTTCTCGCGCAGCAATGTAGTTGCTTCTTAGGTCCATTGGTCCACCTTGTGACAGACGTTATGTAACTTTCCATAAGCTAGCTTGGTAGATATGTATGTATCCATGGATGTCGGACTAAATAGGGGTAAGAGCTATAACTACATCAAATCTATAGTCCCATTAGCAGTCAGTACCTTTATATTCATCATTGAATCTCTCTTCACCTCAATCATACCATTTTTGAAGAGAGGCTTTCAAGTGCTTATTATATTCGACACAACTCGGTATGTGATGCAAGTGTTATTATTCAGAGTATAATCGATCGCTTCAGGAATTACAGAGGCCAGGGCATTGTAGTTATAACCAGCAGCATATCCACTGACCATTATCCATCTGAGGGTCCAATAGGATTCGCTGCCGTACAGCATTCGGCACCTCTCGTATACATATGCCTAAGCCGATTCTAAGATTTTCTAGTCTTCCCGCGCTTTTCATGCAAGCAATGCCCCCCTTTATCAACAGTTACATCCTGCAGCCTGCCTTCGCAGAACATATCTAAGCAGTTACGAGGATCGGTATCACTCAGTGCGATTAACTCTCTATCGACTCAACCTAGTCGGAACTTCCGCCTCACAATGTCTCTCGCCCATAGTGGGTTCGACCGGCTCGCATTAAGCTGGCTTGCGGTATCTCCCCGCCCTGTTAACTCCGAATAATTCGGACACTCATGATTAAAGTGCTCGACAAGCTCCAATATTCCTAACCGCTCGTAATGATCGGAGCGGCTAACTAGCAGCAGCATGTAATGCTCGAAATCAGCGCTCGGAAGGACCACCATCAAGTAGGTTTCTTCCGTGTCTATCTCTTGGTTGTTATCTGTCCTCGCCAATTGAAATCTAGCACTCTCTCGATGGCTTACACAAAGATTGACGTACCAGTATTTCTGGTATAAGAAAATCCATTCCTCCTCTTGAGTAACATCTGATTGTTTCAGTTTTACCCAGATGGTGGGCGCTTCAATCTCTAAGACTTGTGATGTACGGGTATAGTCAACACCACTTGCGAAATCGGTAATGAACCGATGTAATGAGACTTGGCGTGGCATTGCTGCGCTATCGGATGGTGCAGGGTTGACCTCGACTGATATGTCGATGTACTTGATTTCATCGGCATGCTCGATAGTCAAAGTTCCGAGAGTACTACAGCAGTACGACCAAGCTCCAGAACCAAGGTTCTCAACGCTGCCTATCCAACCGGCCCAAGACCAGCTCGGAAACCTGCTACTTCGCTGTCCAGGTTCTAAACTCCGCCAACCCAAGAAAATTATATCTAAGGAGCTTCCATACCATTGATCGGCGCCGATGAACACCGGTATCCCCCAGATATGGGCGATTCTGGAAGCATTTAGGACACCGAGGAAAGCATTAAGTCGGTCGCTCTCAAAGGACAGCTTCTTGTTCGTATATTGTATAAGCTGATCTTCCAGCTGCTCGAGCGACGCATCATCGGGGATAAAGCTTGTAAGGGGTGACAAAGACACAATAGCATCACCCCCGGAATACCCAGGCGTATGGCTTCCTAGTAATCCTCCTAAGGTCTTCGGGACGTGGAACGACTCGAAGCAATATGAATATCTGCATTGAAAGTACACTTCTTGTTCAGTGAAGATAAGTTTCCGTTGAGCAAGGAGGCTCTCCTGAAAGGTCCATCCCCTAGCCCACCATACGCTCTGGCGTAGCCTTTGTCTAGTGTCGAAAATTTCGATGAGTCGGATGTCTCCGATCTGTATGGATTGTTGACGTATCCGCTTCTGGTTGCCCAATCCAGGAAGACCGTAGTGCGCGTCATTACCTGCGGCAGCAATGATGACCATATCCGCACTCCCGTATATATGATCCATTGCCGCAATTTGCTCATGCTTGTCTCTGGCATCGCTTTGATCTATACACTATTGCTTGTAAGCAGATAATTACACCTTAGGTGTATCGGGAATGTTACATAACGATCGACCCATAGATATCGGTATCCTAGGGCCACACAAGCCGTTATACCGTCTTCCACAACCTGGGGATAGGATGTGTCACTTGATACTTTGCCCCAAACATAAGACAGTGCGACATACATGCTGGATGGTGGCTTTCGGACTACGGCCTTTGAGTGGCAATCTATGACACGTAGCTTCTGAAGGACCGGCCGTTCGAGAAACCTCCCGGGTTCCGCTGCTGGACAAACATCGGAATGATTCGAACGGCAAGAATGCAGCCAATTTTGAATTATTGTCAAGTCAATTTCAACCGGACGCGGTACCGTGCCTATCTCGGACTCAACACATTCGCCGATGCAAATACGCAGGCCGCCCCTATGATTACCCTGTAAAGCGATACCGACGGTATCCTTAACGGAGCGGTAGTTTAATTTTGGCCTTAGACCAATCAGATCCTTGAGGTGAATAAGAGCCGAACTTCGAGCAATGAGTTGTCCTACAGGTACATCAAGGGACTCATCGTCCGGGAATAATGTATCATCTGCCAATGCTCTGCATACGTCGCAATCCGAAGCCTGGAGCTCTCTGCGGGACTGCTCGATCCTGGCGATCGGGATGCCCATTGAGGTTGGAATCTCGAGTGCTGCAAGCTTTTTCCAGTCGATATAACTGCACCTAGGACACAATCGAGGTCCCCCAGCCTGCTCTCTCGCCCTCGAAAGTTCGCTATTGTCCGGGTTATCAGTCTCATAGCAGCGCCGTATTTTGCGTTCACTGAGTTCAGACTCCCACTCAGCTCGAAAATTGTCACCCCAGTACCACCTTATCATGTCGACTTCCTTTCAATCCGTAAAAGTACATAGGTACTATCAGGCTTTCAGAGACTAATCCCCGCTTAAGCCCAATGGTGCTCAGTAATTTAAACAAGATTGAATCGATAGACTGATTTTGAAAATAAGTCGCGGCTAGAAGCAGGTTTTGATCAGGTGCCGCCGTAGGATTCCGGTGTTGTAGTTATCATATTCATGTCCCTATTACCTAAATATGTATGAATATACAGAGTGGTATTATGCATTTATGCATGATATTAAGTGAGACAACATATTGTTATATCAATGTGCATATCTTTATGCTCAGATTTATGCTATCCATACCCTTAGGATCGATATTAGGTCAGGTGATGATAAATCATGTGATAGCCCGAGGGAGTAAGGCGTTTAAAAACTTTGCCGTTTGTCTGCTGACTTCGGAGATCCTTCATACTTCAGATTGAATAATCAGATGAAAATCATTAATATTTTAAAGTGATTTGTGACAATATATTTGGCCGGGGTCCCGGCGACCTAACTACCGCAAAGCCATATATCTAGCTATAATTCGCACCATGAATCTGGGAATAGCTTCAAATCTATCGCAAAATATATCAGTACAAGGGCTCTCCTCCTCTGGCCTAGCTATAACTTAATCCTATACACTTCAAGGCATTCTCTATCGCTAACCCCGCTACCAATTGAAGAGAGTATTGGCCGACGTCCAAACGCTGGGCAGATGCAAATCAGGTGGTTCTCAAAGACTACCCGGAAGCGCCACCTCCTTTTTAACATGCATTCATACAAAAATTGCCTCCTTTCCAACCGGGCTCTATGAGATTCATAAAATGATTTAGTTACTTGACGTCCAGTCCAAAACATTCTTATACGGGGTATCCCTGGCTGAGACGCCGTTGACGACGAGTTGTTGAAGATCCGTGTTGAAGCAGTTGTCGACGGTCTCAGCGCCGTCGCAGACCGGCCACAATGTCTTATCAGACATTCTACAGAACGTCCCGCTTGCGGTGTTGAGGAAGTCTG